GGGGGGCATGAAAAATATGGCAGGGCCCTTTCTTGGGTAGGTTTTGGGAATGTGGCTCTGGCCCCCCTTTTTTTCCGGGGGTAGCCTGGGGCTCCCTTCGCAAGTCATGTTTTCCTGGCCCAGATCCCCAGCCCCCCCAGGGCAGCTTTGGCTCCCTGGGGACTGAGGGGGGGCTTTTTTCCCAGCAGGGGCCCCATGGGGCAAAGGAAATGTGGGGGGGGGGGGGCAGCCAGGGCTTCCAAGGGGTGGTGAGGCAGCTCTGGGGATTGAAGGCTGGAGAAGGTTCTTGGAGGGTTCCTGGCTCCGACGGGTCTGGCTTCTCAGCAAAGGACGCCACGGTCACCCAAAGGCTGCACTGGAGCAGACAGTCCGGCCTAGGATTTTCCACCCTCCACCTTGGGGGACCCCTGGGACACAGGGCAGGCTGGCCCAGGCTGGATGGGGGGTTCCAGCTGCCTCCTCCAGGAGTGGCCACCCAACTCACAGCTTGAGCCCCACCTCTGACCCCTTGCTTTGTCCTGCCCCCAGAAGGGGCCTCTTGGCCCCAGAGTAGCTGAGGTGGGGACAAGGCTATGGGTCCCTCCACCGCCAATATAGGACCCAGCCCCCTCGGCCTGGGAGTGCGCTCAGCTCCCTCTGGGCAGGAAACTTGTCCCCATCTAGGAGGAAATGGCTCAGTTAGGTGGGCACAGGGCCAGCCCCTTGCTGGACCCAGACTGGGCACCAGGTTCCAACTGTTCTGATGTTTTTGCTGGAAGGTTCCCTGACCTTCTGGCCCCGTATAGCCTAGCACCCAGAGGGGACAGGCTGGGAGGGACTGGACTCATGGTCCTTTCCTTTTTATGGGCACAGGGACCATTTTCCAAACAAAACCTGGGCCACGTGGGCTGGAATGGGATTCTTTTCTTATCTACTCAATTATTTTTGTGAAAAGTCCAACAAGGGTATAAACATTAGATCACTCAAGAGAGGCATTTAGCAAATCTACATTCCAAACAAAGAGAAATAGGGCTGACGTCCAGAGGGCAGGGGAGATGCAAAGGGGTGGCCTGGAGCAGGGGCATGACTCTGGGACTTGATCCTGCAGAGACCTCGAGAGCCCACGCCTGGGCCCTGACCAGCATCCTAAGGAGGTGGGAGACCAGAGCGCCCACTCCCTGCTATGTGGGCATGATGGCAACCCCTGGGGCAGCTGGGATTGGGGCGAGCCAGCCACTTCCCTCCTCAGCCCCCTCACACACACACACACACACACACACACACTTCTGGCTTTTCTGAGCTATAGCATTGTCCCTCAGGGTGTCCCGCATTCCTTTATTTATTCATTCACAAATAATTACTGAACATCTGGTAAGGGGATAGAGTGATGGGGCTACAGGGCTAGGGAGGGTATTTTGTTAATTACAGCTGCATAACAAATGACCCCAAAACAAAGCAGCTTAAAATAACAGACATTTATTGTCTCACTTTTTGTGTGTGTTGGGAATCAGGGTGCAGCTTGACTGGGTCCTCTGGCTTAGGGTCTCTCACAGGCCGCGGTCAAGATGTTGGTGGAGGCTGTGATGTCATCCTAAGGCTCGATTGGGGAAGGTTCCAATCCCAACCTCACTCCCATGGTTGTTGGCAGGATTCACTTTCTCCTGGGCTACTGGGCCTCGGGCCCCGGTTTCCCCTGTGGCTGTTGGGCAGGGGGCTCCCTCAGTTCTTGCCCATGAGCCTCTCTATAGGGCAGCTCACAACCTGCTGGCTGGTTTCCCTCCAGCAACCAAGCAAGTGAGGGAGAGAGAGAACAGCAGGACAGAGTCACCATCTTTTCGTAACCTCCCACTGTTTTTGCTGTGTTCTGTTGGTTAGAAGCAAGTCACCCTTGAGAGGAGGGGGTTATACAAGGGTTTGGCAGAAAGTGGGGATCCCCGGGAGCCACCCTAGAAGCTGCCTTCTACAGAGGGCTTCACTGAGGAGGCCTGGATGGACCGAGGGAGTCAGCCAAGCAAAATCTATCGCTGAGGCTCTCACTGTGGCCCAGTTAGGACCCCTGGGTTTCTGAACATTTATTATAAACTTGACCTGTTCAGTGAAGGGGTTTGGAGGTGGACCACCTGGGCTTGAATGAAGCTTACTAATGGACGTGACCTTGAGCAAGTTACTCTCTGATGGAGGTAGGGCACTTAACCCAGAGCCTGACCGGCCTCTAGTGCCCCTCACCCCAGAAGGGACTGGAACTCCGCCTCAACCACACCTTTCTGATGTGAGTAAGGAGACAGGGAAGGAGGCATTGGCTCAGGTGATGGAGCAGGAACCGAGGAACCATGGGGGCGGGCGGGGTGGGGGGGGGCGGTGTGTGTCCCCACCCAGGCAGAGAAAGATGAGCACATTTGCATTTCACTTGCAGAGAGCTGTCAATAGGCAACTCTCCTTGAGGAGTTACAACCCCATGCTGCGCATTTTTCTTGCATTATCTCCCCGCCCCACACCCCCCAGCCTTCAGAACAACCTTGTCAGGAGTTGATTACTGTTTTCTCCCCAGGAGAAAACTCAAGTTCAGAGAGATTAAGTGACTTGCTCTAGGTCACAGCGCTAATAAGTGAGGGAGCCAAGATCCAAATTCAAGTGGGTCTGACCCCAAAGCCCAGCTCACTACATTTTACAGACTTCTCACGTGATCTGCATATCAGCTGCTTAAGACCTACTTGTGCATTTTGTAGGAATTACTGAGCCCCTCCCATATGCCAAGCACTGAGCTGGGTGCTGGAGAGTCATCAGACACAGCCCTGTCCCCCTTCTGTGGGGAAAGCATGTTAGTACAACCCCACAGCCTGGGGACATAGCCATGGGATGAGACGACTCCTAAGCCTACCTAGAGGAATCAGGGCAGGCTTCTCAGAGGCGGTGATAAAGGTGCAGAGTTTGCCAAAAGGGGGTGATCCAGACCCATAGAGTCTCACCCGTCTTCATCACTATTCCACCGTAAGCAAAAGAAACACACTTTTACCTGGTTGGGGAGACGTGGGGTGGGTGGAGGGGGGCTGTTGGCTAACTTGTGGGTAAGCCCCACCTGACCCGGATGTACAGCTTCCTGCAGCCGCACACCTGGGCATGCCAGGCTGGGCTTGGCGTCTGCTCTGACCTGGCCCCAGCAGAGCATGTCAAGGGGAAGGGCAGCTGAACAGACGCTTCCCTTCCTCAGCCTCTGGGCCCCGAGGACTGAAGCGCAGGAACCCTGTCCCTGTCCAGGGATCTAGCTGCAGAGCCTGTGGACCACGTGGGCGGAGAGCTCCGGAACCAGGAGAGGGCGATGGGAGAAAGCCAGTGCCACATTCACGGAGTGGGACTCCCACCACGCGTGAGGCCTCTGTGCCCGGCGGCTCTGCTAAGGGAAGCATTCACGTCCCCGCTGCAGGGCGTGCAGCCCAGCTCCCGTATGTGACAGGTGAGGAGAGGGAGCCTTGCAGTGGGAAGGACTTGGTCAAGGTCACAGCCAGCACCAGAGAGCTGGGAGCTAAGCCTACGTCTGACCTCAAAGCCCATGTTTTCCCTATTGCCTCCCCTTCCCTGACCTTCTCGACTCCTCATCTCCGTTTAAATGTCAGCCGCCCCCTCCCCCCCAGAGACCTCCCCTACCCTCACCTGCACCTTGTTCATCCCCTCAGAGCACCCGTCACCACCGGTAATTACATTAATTGGTATTACGTGTTGATCGCCCCCACCTCTCCGTAAGCTCCATGGGGACAAGGATGGATTGTGTCTGACCTGATTCCCTCGAGCTCCTAGTCGGTGCCCATCAACGCTTGTTGGACCAAAGCCCTCCTCCTGCTGGCGGCAGCAGGTGCCGTGCTGCCCGCAGACTGGACAGCAGCCAGCGCCCCCCCCTGCTTTGGGTCTTGCCCCCACACCTCTCTCCTACCCTTCCCTGCCACCCAGCGTCTCAGCTGCCTGAGCCCTAATAGAAGGTGGAGCCCCTTCATCAACTGCTTGGAAGAAAGCTGGTCCGAGGCTGGCAGGCACGGAGGAGGGGAGCGGGGCCTCTGAGCCGGCGGACAAAGG